AAGTTTGATAGCGTAATGTTGTCAAATGGATTTCGGGTCAACGAGGTTGACAAGTGCATATATGTCAAAGGTAATGAGACAGAATTTGTGATTATCTGTCTTTACGTAGATGATATGATCATTACTGGTAGTGGTGATAAGGTGATTAAAGCTACGAAAACCATATTATCAAATCACTTTGACATGAAAGACTTGGGAATAGCAGATGTAATACTTGGTATGAAAATTATCAAGATACAAGACGGTTATGCGTTATCCCAAAGTCATTATATAAAACAAATCTTAGAGAGATTTGACAAAGATGGAAATTCTGTGGCCAGAACTCCAATTGATGTTAATTCTCATTTGAAAAAACATCACGGTGAGGGAGTTCAACAATTAGAATATTCCAGAATCATAGGAAGCTTAATGCATCTTATGAATAGTACAAGGCCGGATATTGCTAATACCGTGAATAGGCTTAGCAGATATACGAGCAATCCAAGTTGTGATCATTGGAAGGCCATAATTAGACTCCTTAGATATCTAAGGTATACTGAGAATTATGGACTGCATTATACAAGATATCCAGCAGTATTAGAAGGATATTCTGATGCGAACTGGATATCAGATTCGAATGAGAATAAATCCACAAGTGGATATATATTCGTTGTTGGTGGAGGTGCTATTTCGTGGAAATCCTCTAAGCAAACGTGTATTGCAAGATCCACTATGGAATCTGAATTTATAGCTTTAGACCTTGCTGGTGAAGAAGCTGAGTGGCTTCGAAACTTACTTGAGAATATTCCTATATGGCCTAAGCCGATGTCTGGAATTTGCATACATTGCGATAGTCAGTCTGCAATAGGAAGGGCAAAAAGCCATGTGTATAAGGGAAAGTCGCGACACATCCGCAGACGACATAACTCTGTTAGAAAATTACTAACAGATGGTGTCATATCTATTGATTTTGTGAGATCAAAAGATAATTTGGCTGATCCTCTGACCAAAGGCCTTAACAGAGATCAGGTAGAAATATTATCGAGGGGAATGGGATTAAAGCCCATAGAATGACAAACCACCATGATGGCAACCCAACCTATCTGGACAAACTGCCGGTATAATTGTGGGGGGGTCGATGGGATCACTTGAGACTGATATCTCTTCACATTCCTATGATAAGAGTGATACAAATTGGGAAGGTTGAGTTTATACTCTTAAAGATTCTCTTATCTCCTACGAGAGTGGAGTATATTGAGATACTCTCAAAGAGAAATCTCCTATATCAAGTATGAAGTGGGCCGCTTCTATGAGAATGACAAAAGGGCTAATTCTCTAGAGTACTTGATGAAATTTACCAGGTGCTGTCCCAGGGCCATAATGGGCGCAACAAATGGACTAACGAGAGAGAGAGAGGGTGCTGCGTGAGTACTATTGTCTTGGTGTATACAAAAGCTGAATAGTTCAAGACATCGCGTTCACTGTTTAGCAAGTACATCCGATAGTATTTCACTACGGAAGGTTCAAAGGTAAAACTACCTTTTCGGATACAGTAAACTCTCGATGAGCAAATTTTGCATTGCACATCATTTGCATTAGTTGCATGAGATGCATTTAGGTTCACCTAACTCAAGGCCCTATTTTGATTCTTGTGGGGGATTGTTGGATTTGGGTTTATTTGATAGAATCAAAACGGGCCTAACCCGTGAGAAGCCCGGTGCGTGGAAAGTTTTAAATCTGCAGAATATTGAGAGAATATTCTTGTTTGAATTTGAAATTCAAATTCAAATTCAAATTGGATTCAAATCCGCAGAAAATCTATCAAATATGATTGAGATAAGATTAAAATAATATCAAGATAAAATCAAATTTGAATTTTGAAATTCAAATTGATTTGTTTTGAGATTCTCCCCTCTACTATAAATAGGGGTATTGGGTTAGCTCATAAAACACACAGAAAAGGAAACAAGCATTCTAGAGAAAAAAAGAGCATTCAAATATTTGCTCATATCTCTCTCTGAGTTCGCTTGGTATTTGGAAAGCTTCTTCCAAATACGCGGTCGTTGTATCCTGGGAGTTCACCGTGCTCCAATAGCCTCGAAGCTTTAGAGGTGGCACGGAAATCGAACTTAAGGAAACTGTGTTTCACAGGCCTCGACAAAATATTCTTTTAATTTCAGGTAATTATCTGGAATCGCTCGAATTGCCGGAGTTTTGCTGTCGTCAACAACCACCCCAACAGTTTTAAGTTCGACATGGTTAACACGAGGCAAACTTCTCGAGTAAGTGCCTAAATCTCCTTTTAATTTCGGTATAAAATCTCACACGAATTTGGATCTAAAACCAATTAGGTTAAAAAAAAAAAGTGTTGGAAAAAAAAAACCAAATAGTTGTTTTGTGAATGCCCAAATTGAGTTTAAGGCCCAAATTTAAAATTGAAGCCCAAATTCAAAGAGATTTTGAAAAGCCCAAAAGAGTAAGCCCAAATTGAAAAGTTTAGTTTTGACCCAATTTGAAGAGATTAATCTAAAAGTACATAAGAGAAAGCCCAACATATTTAAAAGTGTTTTGTGAGAAAAAAAAGAATATTATTATTTATCTTTTTTGGAAGAAAAGAAAAAGGTTAAACAAAATCGGAAGTAACTTTTCCTGTAAATTGGGGAAGCAAGCTTTGTCTTAGCGGGCCGGGTTTGAAGAGGAAGCCCTTTATACCCTCCTCATAGTAAGGACGTGGGAATCAGGGTGAACCCTCCTCCGGCTATCACTGGAAGCGAGCAAAACCAATTTATAAGTTAAGTGAAACTCGGTTTAGTTTATAAGCTTTGTGAAAGCTAACAATGATTGGATTTATTCAACAGATCAGTGATAATCCAAGAAATCCCATGGATTCAAATACTG